GGAGAGCTCCCACCCTACACACAGCTCGGCCCGGGGACAACAGCCCCTCGTCCACCCTCCCGTCAGCCCCACTCGGGTCTCCCACGCGTGCTGCGACGCCGGCAGCGGGCAGGACACGGGTAGAAAGGCCGCGAGCAGAGGCGCAGCGCGACGACGCGCACAGCCAGGCACAACCTGCCCGGACGCCCCAGAGAGCGACGCGCTCAGCTTACAGCCACCCACCCCACCCCCAGGGAACCCCATCCCCAGGCCGTGGGAAAGGGACAGGGCCCAGCAGGGGAATTTATTCCATGAACCTCCTACTAGTTCCAAGACCAAGCCCTGAAGGATGGACCTTCGCAATCTCACGGAGACGGGACGGGGTGGCTCTTTGGGGCCACTTGCCCGGGCTCGAAAAAAGGTTTGTTTTTGGGAGAGGGACAAAGCAAATACCTTTATTTCCGACAGCGCAGTGTTGCAAGGTGGGTGTCTGGAAACAAATCCACCTGCATGTTTGCATCCACGCCGTGGGCAGTCACTTGGCAGCGTGCGGCACCTCTGCCAGAGAGCAAAAGGAAAACGAGTTCAAGAGGGTCCCCAGGATTCATGAGGGAAACGGATTTGTGGTGAGAACGCCCCAACCTGAGCCACCACCATCCTATGGCTGGCCTCGGCAAGGCTCCAGCGAGCCGGGGGGCCTGCGGCCCGGGGCCTGCGCACCGGGTTTGGCTCCCCAGCAGCTGTCGGATCGCTCTTCCCTCACAGCACGTCAACACCTGCCTCCCCACGCTTCCCCCTTTTCACGTTATCCCGCTTTCGCATGCGAAGCGGTTTATCCCCCAAGGATACCCAACGATAACTCCTTGTAACCATGGAAATGAGGCAGCATTTCCCACTGTCGGAACAGCTGCCTGCGATGAAAACGTGCTCTCCGCAGCAGGAGCCTCAATCCGTGCTGGAATCACGGCCATAAGCCATCTTCCGCTCTCCCGAAGCCGTGACAGCCGTCCCTTCTCGGTAATCCCTCAGCAGCGACGTTCCCGACAACACCCCGGTTGGCAGCGACTCATCCTCTTGCTCTGCTCAGCAACGCCCAGGGTTTGGGTGCCGAAACCCGGGAATTTTCTCCACAGAAAGCAGGAGCTGAGCTGGTCCAAGCGCTGGGGCAGCAACCACAGGAGGAAACCGTAGTCGCGTTTCGGCTTTTCCAGCCCGATGTCCGACAAGAAGCGACTGTGGGAGAGATGGGCTGTTCCCACTCTTTGCCCGCCCCCGTACCCCCCCCCTGCCAGCACCGAGGACAAAGGGAAAACCCTCCGCCGCATCTCCAGCTCATTCACAAGTTCTCCAGAAACCCAGGCACCTGAGTGGCTAAGAGGAATCTCGGCAAGTTCCTCTCCCGCAGGGATGCTGACTCGACTCTCCTGGAAAACACACCCAGCCCCACAGCAGCCGAGTGGGCGGCGCAGACGCGGCCTTTAATGCCGCCAAGCTGGAGACGGGTCTGCGCGGAGCCCACCCGCCGCTCCCCAGCCCAGACGGGTCCTTCAGGGCTCCCCCTGCCAGACCTGCCCCCATCCCAGACCCTGGGTGGGCAGGGACACAGGGGAACGCCGGTGTGTTGCGAACACAAAGCGGAGAGCCGGGCTCAGCCCCCCCGCCCTGCTTTATAGTCACCTGATGCAGCGAGAGAGGAAAAACCCGAGATGCTGACGAGCATCAGCTCCCACCCAGCGAGCAGAGAGTCCCCTAACTCAGAGCTTTTGTTCCTCCTGTGTTTAATGGAAACGCACACAATTCATTAAAAAAGAGCAACGTCAAGTAACACCGGTGCCAAACACTGTCCAACCGGCTCGTCGCACACACAGCTAATATAGCTCACGCACACACCACCCACAGCACTTCCACGGCCCCTACGTGCCCCCCCGGGGCTCACCCGGGTGAGGACCAGGCAGGCCACGACGACCTCGCCTGGTCAGTTCGGATCGTTGGCCCCTTTTACTCCGAGATCTTCCCATCGCTTTGGCAAGCGTGAAGAGGCCAATGCCAGCCCGACCGCTTCACCGGCGGGGCGAGCTTTGCCCCCACGTGGCTGGGCGGGGGTCTTCAATGGAATTCTGGAGTGGGCTGCAGTCAACATCCCTCCCCCCGCCCCGAGGGGAAATGCAGCTACCCCCTACCTGCTTGCCAAAGCTGCCCTAGGTTTGTAGGAGAAAGAAAACCCGCTTTCCAAAGCTCTCGGATCTGAAATCCCTGGTAGCAAAAAATTTATTTTTCATGACTGAAGACAAGGAGAAGTTTATAAACATACTCTAGCAACCAACCCGAGAAACAGTAAATACCCCGTTCCTGTGACTTAGACGATCACCCGGGAGCAAAACACCCAAAACCGGCTCTGCCACGCGGCAGCCAGGCGCGCGAGCCCACGCGCACACCGCCCGTCCTCACTTCCTCCCGACCCCGCGTGCGCCAGCGAGGTCTGCCCAAGGCCCGCAGCGGCTCCAGGCATCCTCCGAGCCACTAGTGTCCAACGTTTCAAAGGAGAAAAAATAAAGCAGCACACTCATTTCAAAGCCCAACAAAGACATCAACATTGTTAGATTCTCCTAAAAAATAAGTAGTTCCAATTCATTTTTTCTCCCCCCAAAGACCACGTGCCTTGGCCGACGTTCAGCGCATGAGCAGGCTGTGCTTTGGTCCATCCACTCTCTCCAGCTTCTCAAAGTGTTTCCTGGCATTGCGGATGTTGATCAGCGTGGCCGCGGAAGCTAGCGGGGAAAAGGGACGGGGGAGATAAAACAGGAGTTAAAAGGGGTGCGAGTGACCGAGCCCTCGGGAGCTGAGCGCTGCCTAAAAGCGACGGCGCAAACGCTCTTGTTTCTAGCCCCGTGCTCCCTGGCTGTGGAAAAGCGGACGCGGGAAGGCCAGGGCCGGTGCACGACCGAGGAAGAGCCAGCGAGCGACGGACAAGCGGTCTGCTCACCGGGATGGCTGCACAAGGCACCGCAGCCAGTATTCCAGTCCCGGGGTTTACACGGGCTTTCCCCAATTCAGTAAACCATTCCGAAGGAGGAGGGGAAGCCTCGACACCGTAAGCCGAAAGGCTGCCCCGGGCAGGGTCTCTTACGCTCCTCAAACCCGAGCGGGAGCGGTTGCCACTGGAGCTGCGCGAAACGTTCAAAAGAACAGTTCAACAGTCACACCGTGCCCTAAAGGGCGGGCGCTGCTGGCTGCAGCGTCTTTGAGATAAACAGACGCTGCTATAATTAGAGCCTTTGCCCACCCAGACACTTCGGGCAGCAGGAGCAAAAGCTCCAGCACGATCCATCTCTGCTTCCTCTCCAAAAAAATCACTGGGGCTGCCAGATCAAAACAGGCCCCAAAATAGGTTGTTAGACAAGACCTACTAAATCGGGTCACACCTGTCACGGCTACGATCCTCCACTCACAGCAGCAGCTCAGCTGTCGGGCACACCGCTTGCCAAGGGAACTCCCTTTTACCCCCCCAGCTCAGCCGGGGCAAACCGGGGGGCAGCAGACCCCCCTCTCTTTTAATTACAGTGAGTTCTACTGCTCCGCCTGGTGTTTGTCATTTTCCAAGAGAAACGCGGTTTAAACCGGTTTCATCTGGCTATTTTTGTCCCCGAGAAGACAAAGAGGCCAGAGGTTTTATCCTTGTTTCCACTTACGTATCGACGGGTCCGACATCACCACCATCACGTACGTATTGGATGTAAAGATGTCAATGAAAGCAGCAAAGTTAGAGTTCCTGACCTCCATGCTCTGGAAAGAAGCTGCCAGCTTACTAAAAGAGGAGGGAAAAAGTCAAAAAACCTAAGAGGGAACAAAGCATTATCGTGCCATGGCTCAAACAGGTTTTTTCCCCACACAGATCCCATCCCACTGTCGGAGCCGTTGGCAACAGCTTGGCGAGCGACACCAGGTGCCACTACAAGTTTTGTTTGGGTTTTTTTTTGTTTTTGTTTTGTTGTTTTTAAAGAAAAAACCCTTGGGGCTCAGTGACAATAATATCAAGTGATTGGCACATCGAGTGGTGAAGGTAACTGGAGACACAACCCCACAGAGCCCGCTGTGCCCCAGCAGCCAATGTCACCTGCCCCAGGGCTGCGACCGCTCAGCCCGTCACGAGGAGGGTTTAACGCCACGGGAACAGCCAGCAGAAAAAAGTGTGGAACCGAATTATCTGGAGGCACCTCTGCAAACCCCATGGCCACCTCTCCGCCCCATTCAGGCTCCAAGCACTTGCAGGTACCGCTGACAGGCTGCGGAACCCGCATCCCAAGCTACTCCAGAGCAAGCTTTCCATTTTCCCACTTGGAATATTGACAGATCACGCCTGCAAGCCTCTCCCTCCCACACCAGCCTTGTGGCACAGAGGCTGCAGCTCTCCACCTGACCTCCCGTAGCGCTGCTGACTGGCACTGATTTATCAGTTCAGTCCTGGAACTTCCCTCCCTGACCCAGGAGAAAGAGGCCAAGAAGAAAAACAGCCGTTTCAAAACAAACCTCTTTCAGCCAGCAGCAAAGGAGGAAGTTACAGGAGACAACAATTAACTTTAAGCAGGGTGGAATTTGACATCGGCACCACAGCTTGCTGAGAGGCCACGGAAGTAGCGTTAATTCGGAGAGCCCCCGCGCTTCTGGAGGAAGCCAAAATACCTGCTGCGGTCTCTCTCCCCTCACCTAACGATTACAGCAGCTCACCTGCAACTCAGCTTGAATTGTTTAATAATGTTGCTGATTTTCTCAAATCGGTGGACATCCCGCTGTTCTTTGCATTGATAGTGAGAAATGACCTGGAAGGCAGAGAGAGCAGAGTGAGTCAGTCGTTTCTTTCAGCACAGGTTCCTCAGGCTCGACAGCAATTACGGGAAGGGGTGGTGACCAGGACAGGGATTCCCTTTGCCTTCTGCTGATTGAATCTGGGAAGCTGTAACAATTCTTGGGGTGTTTTCACAGTAAATTCACAAGTACAGATGCAAGGATGAGATATGCAAGAGACACTATTGTCCATCTGAGGTCTGAATACTCCAACTTGGCAGAAATTTAAGCCATGATTCAAAGGAAAAGTGCGAGGAGAGGCAGGAAAAGCACCCCAAGACCATCAGCTCTCAGGTAGGAGAAACAGACACTTGGCAAATGCTGGAATAGCTTTTCCTTCCTGAGTCTAGCGCACTGCGGATTCCCAAGGGCCCAACCTGAGAAATCCCCCGTTCTGCAACACGTAGGATGCACAAACACTACTCAAAGCCAAAGCAAGCTGCTCCTCCCCAAGAAAAGTGGAACAAAGGAGCTGGTTTCCCAGGGAGTTCTCCCTCCATCCGTTGACTGCGTCAGCCCAAGACTGTGCTCAGCTGCCTGCACGCACACCCATTCCCCTCCTCTCCCTCCCACACAGCGATCCAGCAGCAAGGTGCAGACCCTGTGCCTGGCTGCAGCGATCCAGAGGATCAGAAGCCTTCGGGAGCCCTTGCAGGGTGATCCACAGCTCTCCCCCTGACCACGCTCACGAGGCTGGGCGCCTACAGACCTTGACTCCTCAACCAAAGGAGCCAGCGGGCCGAGGACTGCACACAACCCAGTACTTAGATCATCTGCGTTCCCACAGCAAACCAAAAAGGAGTATTTTTAAAACCCCACGCTGCGTGCTTTCAGCTCTTAAGGACCATAAAACCAGCCGCTGTCGGGTGTCAAACGCCCTTATGCTCTTACTTCCCTACCTTCGGAGTCACACCTAACAGGCTCGCGAGAACCACGTTTTGGGGGTTTTTGTTCCCTTGAGCACCTTAAAAAGCTCATCAGGTACTTCCTATTTTCTACACCTGCTCAATCATTCACACAACACAGGTTTCGCCAGATCCAAGGACTCCATCCACAGCAAAGCCTTCACTGCAGGCAAGCACGTTCCTTAACTTTCCAGATCGGTTTTGCTGTTGCTGTGAGGTGAATACCACTTCAGAGCAACATTCATGTGTAAAAAGTGAAGAGCAAGTTTTTTAAGGAGTCACCACTAGACTGAAAATAAGCAGAGTCTATTTTTTTTTGTAGCAAAGATCATTATTTTTCAGTAAAAAATGCCCTTATAACAAACTCACCGTTACATACCACCAAGGTGGAACTATTTGTTATTCACAAAAGGTCAAAAAGCAGAACTTGCCAGGACTTTTCTCACTTCTTAAACTATCAGAAATAACCACCTGCCATTTCTGGCTCCTTTTCCACATTCCCTCTGTCATTTCAAAAGTCAGACATTTAGCCATCAAGCATTCAAAAAATGCCAAAAAAATCATTCCTTTGGGTCAGGAAGAGTTTTGGCCAATCCAGAAACTGAGCGTACGATGAACAAGCAGCAACGGTGGCTTTGACCAACACGTTTTACCTTGCAGAGACAGACTGGAAGGACAGTTACCACGCAGACAGTAACTTCAAGAGCCACTGCAATCCAATCGCTCGGGATTCCCTATCCATACTGAGGGTTTGTAGAGCATCCGACAGATAAACAAGAACGGAGCCCAGTGAAAATGCCAGGCCAGGAGGAACTGAAGAGGCTTATTTCAAGCTAAAGAAGGTTCTTGCCCTGTGCAGAACGGGGTTCTCAGAACCCACGGCCGACAACAGAATGGGGATATGAAACCCTCTCACAGCTTGGAAGAGGGAAATACCAATCGAGCCCTCAGTTCAACTACCAGAAGTGGAAATTTTGGGAAGGTCCCGTGAGCCATGGAGTCACGTCAGCTACTTCCAGTACCACAGGGCCTGGATCAGTGCATCCTGCCATCTGGCACCTCTCTCTGGGCTACCACCACAGCACTTTCCATCAGGGAACTCCGTCCCAGGCCGGGCAAGGGAACCCGAAGGGCAGAACTGCTGTATTCACCAGGAAAGTGGCTCTCTCGAACAGAAGCACTTCATCTGCCTCGATGATCTGAGCAAAGTTCCTCAGGTTCATCTCCAGCTGCTGGACATTGGGGATCAGCTGATAGACTATACTGGACCAAGCCTGTCAAAGAAGGACACAACACCAAGGCTGCATTAGCACTTCTCTGCCTCATCCTCCCGCTGGGCAGTGTGCTCAGAAGCAGGTTATGGGCAGTTCTGGGGGTTGGTAGCCCAGGCAAGACTGAGAAGATTCTCCTACATCCATGTCCAGGTACCTCTACCACAGCAGAGACTACCAACAGTACCCCAGAGCTCAGTAAACTCTTCACTAGGTCAAGTTCTTCCCACATCAGTCACAGAGAAATTAGATTATTTTTAAACAGGCTTAAATCATCCTAATTTTAAGCTGGCAATGCTTCTCTCTACTGCTCCCAGGTAAACCCGCTCAAGTTATCCAAGTATTTTAATCTTGAGCAAGGTCAACATGCACATGGACACTTGGCAGCTCGTCCCCAATCCAAACAGAGCTCTAATCTAAGCCAATGAATCAGGACAAGCCTGGAAGGGACTGGGGACGCTGCCACAGGCGTCTGCCCTCACTCAGACGCTGGGCCCCTAAGCTCAGCTTCACCTACCGATCCAGGTTTGTCAGTGCCCGACCAGATGCTTCCCTCCCCGAGTCAGGGTGGGTATTTGTGTCTCCTGTTTACCAAGTACCTGATATTTACCAAAATCTCCCACCATCCCCACTTGCCAAACGCCAAGTTAAAAGCCCAAGCCAAGGGCATCCAGCGTTTAGGGATGGCTGCAGGGGCACGGGGTACGCCACTGCTGAGGAAGGCTGACTTTTGGAGGGAGCTGGATCCGTGCCTTGTGAAGAGCCATGTCTGGCGTACGGTACCCTACCGGCCTCAGACACATCACATGCTGAAGGCGGGGGGGTTTACTGTTTGCTAATTAAACCCAGGACGCTCCGATGCTGTTTACAGCAGCCAATCTATAGCTGCTGTGGCACTATAAAGGGCCAGTCACTGATAAACCAGCAGCAACCAGCCACTCGCCTTCCTCACACTCCTGTTTTCGAGCGGGAGGGGGAGCCAGATGTGGAGAAGCAGCTGTACAGACCTTGTAAAGTGTTTCATCCCAGATGGAAGTTCTAAAACAAACACATTCCAAGGGACGGGAAAGGCGCTTCAAGTCTTCCTCACGCTCTTTAAAAATCTGGGAAATAAAAAGGTAGATTAGCACTGTGCGTAAACATTTGTGCCTTCAGTGTCACCGCTGGTTTGCATTTACCACACGCATCCTGAGTGCCAGCAGCACCGGAGAACAGACACGGAACGCTGGCCAGGAGAGGCCGGCAGAACTTCCCACCGGAGCAGGTGGGACAAGCAGACCCGGGGCTCAACACCAAAGCAGCTATGGGTGTTGTGGGGTGGGAACGGGAACGGGCACACCTGAGTGTCCCCAAGGACCTACATTTTGACGAGTCCCTGGTCACAGGAAAAAGCTGCGTCACTGACAGCAGAACGGGGAGAAAGCGCTTGAGGTCCACCAACGAGGCACATACTTAGTCTTCTCACATCATACTCTGCCCTTAGGGGTTAGTTACAAAAAAAGGGGAGCAGAAGGAACAAAGACCAGCGAGCCTGGTGCCAGGCTCCTACAGAACCGCTGAAGCAGCAGCCAGCCAGCAACCTGCCTCCACAGTGGAACTTCAGACCGCCCTCACCTCAGCTTACTGTTCCTAGGACAGGACACTCACCGACCCCCACGACATGCCGTGTGGGCCACCCATTTGGGTCCTGGGACACCAACGCGTCAGCTAGACTTAGAGTGATTTGGCCCAGTATTTACATGTTCTTCTGAGCAGCAGCTACCTTGAAGCAGATCTTGATGGGCGTGCTACGACACACATTGAAAACACACCTGAAGAAAGGCCCCTCTTTTCACTGCCCCTCGCTTCAGGGCCTCACTAGAGTCTGCACAACTATTTACAGCCAGCAGCTGTCCCAGAACACGTCTGGCCAGGACGGCATCAAGAAGGTTTTAGACTCATTTCCAGTCTGGAGGGAAGGCAGATGGAGGTGAGGAAAACCTCCTCGAATCAACCCTAGGAACAAGCTCTTTTAGCCATTTCTGCACTGAGCTGGGGGGCAGAGCTACAACTGGCAGTGGAGCATCACCACTCTCAGGGAGCATGAGCCATCTGAAGCCAACCCGCTACGTGGAAGCGGCGTGTCCGGGCATCAGCCACACGGCCTCCTCTGCAGCTGCCCAGGCTCACCAGGGGCCAGAAGAAAGCCTTATTAGACTTCTCACCTCGGTGAAAAGCCAACAGCCTGAAGGGGCCTCCACACTTGCTGCAAGCCAGGGAGGTACCTGTCTGACCCACAAAGCTAATCTTTCTCCTGGTATCAGGAGTCGGTTGCTTTTCAGTCCAACTCAAAAAGCAAGGTTGGTAGGAGCTCAACATCTCCCAGTCTCCCCACAACCTTCCAAAAGCTCTGAAAACACCAAACACCTCCAAAAGGCTGAGCCCCACACTTGGCAGGATGGCTCTTGGGGCAGAAGAGTGCTTCAGAGGTGATCTCTGGGCAGGCAGGCCAAACTGACAGAGAGCAGAATCAACGGACAGGAACCACCTCCTAGTTAACTGGGAAAGTTTCAACTGCTCTCTTTGGCTACGCTTTAGAACAGAGCCTACACGGGACCGAAAGCAAGCACTAAAGAGACCAGCGGTCACCACCACCATCCTTAAAGCCATCCAAATGGTGAGCAGGGAGTGTAAGGTCACTGGATTTCTTTCTGTCCCACCTCCCTCCTGGAGCCAAGGTCTGGTGAAAGTACCAGAACAGGCGCTAACGAAGGAAAGGCGCAGAGGAGCCGTCACTAAAAATCATCAGTGCTGTTCTCTATTCACCACATGCGTGAGACAGCGATGACGTACAATTTAGAAGAAGCAGAAAAAGCGTAGAGGGCTTTGTCAACTCTTAATTCTGGGAAACCCTTCTCGGAACAGTGCTGATGGGGCTGTACTCGAAGTAGGAAATCACGATGCCTTAGCACAGGCAAAAGACGCTCTGTTTGAAAGCATTTCTATGGCAACTATCAGCTTCTCACCAAATCCCGCTGATCCTCCTGCACCAAGTCCATCTTGTGCACTAGACAAAAGATCTTGGCATCGGGAGAGTTCTGGAGAATCGCCTCCAAGCATGACTGGTAGTAGTGCATGTCCTTCTCCAGTTCGCGGCTCTCTACGTCGAAGACATAGATGAGGACTTCTACATTGCGGAAGATGTTATCCCGCTGACTGGTGAAGTAGTTCTCCATGAAGGTGTCCTGTCTGAGGAGGAGCAGAGCAACAAAGCAGGGAGATTCCTGTTAGAGCAACCAGGTCTGGCGTAGCGTTGTCAGGAGAGGCGCGATGGTGTAAAACACCTCCTGCCAGAAAGGCAGGGTTTGCGTTTGGAGCCAGAGACCCCATCACGGAGCTGAGACAAGAGCCCCGCAGGTGGCTCAACTCCCCAGGACGTAAGGCTCCCTAAGCACTTCCCACCAGGCAAAGCTGGATGCTCCTGAACAGCATCTGCTCACCAGCTCACGGGAAGCGGAGGCTTCCCTCGTGTCACAGCTCAGCGTCCTGTGCTACGCTGCTTCTGGACCCAGAATGGTATTTAGAGAGACGCCTATCAAAAAGCCACAGCAAAAGCATAACCAAACCCATCAGTGCAGCCTTTATCCCACCCAGAAGGATGTAAATCCCCTTTAACTTCTGCTGAATATGGCTCAGACAAGGCACGAGGACGTGAGCTGGTGAAGCTCAGCAGAGGTGGACAGCTCTGCCGAGGCTCTGTCAGGGGGAGAGCGGTCTTTGAAAAGCTGCTTCCAGGAGCCACAGTCACCATCCACCCTCAGCACAGCTCCTCAGCACGCACCCCCTTCGGACCAAGCTGGTGACAGGAATTCTGAAACCTCCCACCACCTCAGGACAAAGCCCAGGCGAAGGGCTCCGGCCTTCTGCCGGCAGAAGCAAGCAGGCAGCGAGGGAAGGGTGGACCTACGCGCTGCACCTTCTACACAGGGATAACCCGAGAGACAGCGTAATCATGCCAACCTCTTCCACCCACCTCCACACACCAGCCTAGGAGGTGGAACCTGTCTTTTCCGGGGCTGTCTCACCAGTTTCACCGAGCGTGCACAAAGCTGTTCTCGTCCCTCCACACAGGAGCAGCGCACTCGTCCCGCCGGGGCAGGAGCACCCCGGGTTTGGTGCATCCCCAGCCTCATTCCCCACAGCTAATCCCCAACAGTTTCAAAAGCAAAAGAATCAACAGTACCTACCCTCCGCAGTCCCAGAGGTTTAACACCAGGTTTCCTAGGAATCTAACGTGGGAGTGCTCCACATCAACTGGAAAGAGACAACAGGCGTTAACCGACTGGACCACAGGCCCAGACCAGCGCTACCTCCTCGGGCAGCCAAACCCCCCCCGTTCTGCACAACACGGCCCACAGCTGGTAAAATCCCACCTGAACGCTCTTGTACGTAAACCCGTGGCCAAAGGTGCTACGGAAAACAGAGTTCCCAGAGTAATTCAAGCCTTCCTACACCCTGCCTGGGACACTTCTCCTGAGAAACAAAGCAGGCCGTTTCCCTTTAACATGTTCTCTGGTCTTCGTGACATTTTAGAATCACAGAATGGTTTGGGTTGGAAGGGACCTTAAAGACTGCCAGTTCCACCCCCTGCCACGGGCAGGGACACCTTCCATCGCCCAGGTTGCTCCAAGTCTCATCCAGCCTGGCCTTGGACACTCCCAGGGATGGGGCATCTACAGCTTCTCTGGGCAGCCTGTGCCAGTGCTCCCCACCCTCTGCGGGGAGAATTCCTTCCTGATGTCCCATCATCTCCCTCTTTCCATTTATATCCACTACCCCTCGTCCTGTCACTCCCTACCCTTGGAAGAAGCACCCCCCCAGCCTTCTCGTAGGCCCCTTCAGGTGTTTTAAGAAGGACATTATTTCCAGCACACTCTGCAAGGCCTTAAGAAAGCCTTAAAAAATACAAGTCAGTAACAGAAATAATGTAAATTTTATGAACAGGCCAAGTTTACAGCAAAGAGGAAGCAACACCAATCAGTGACACTAAGTCCTCCCAGCTGCTTCCCAGCGAGAAGTGTTAGATCCTGACAACTCAGAGCTCTGTTTCAGAGGAATCTTATTGCTTTTTCAGCTCAGTGATTTTGGAGAAAGAAACAAAAGCCAGAAGACACTGCTGAAGCCCAGTGCATCATCCTGCCAAAACCACAGGTGCGTAGCAAGACCCCTGTGCCTCCAGCTGTGTGAGCCATCCGCTGCCTAACGGCAAAGTTTCACGGACGAGGAGGCTCTCGACACTCCTCCAGTACCAGGGGGAGCTGCAGGACAGGCAGCTTCCTGATCAAACTGAAGAGCGAAGGATAAAACCCCAACAACAAAGCAGCAAAGCTGAAGGCAGCGCTTCCCTTTCACTCCAGCGTCCTGCCTGCCCTCAGCTGAACTCGGAGCGAAGTTCCCTGTGAGGTGTGGCAGCCGGGAGGATCAGCAGACACCCACCTTCTCCAGAGCAGAGGCAGGGATTGCCGGAGGGAAGGGCCTCGCCCCTTCAGCCAAGGGGGTTTGAGCCCTGAGAACTTGCAGTTCAAACAAGAGAAGCCTTACTTGTGGCACCCAGGCGCCGTGTGTCCCTGGCGATGTAGTTGGCAAAGATAATGGACCTCATGCTGGTCTTCCCAGACCCGCTTTTACCCATCAGCAGCACCTGGGAGGTAACAAGAAGCCCAGAATTAGCTACCGCAGAGCACCGAGTCCTTCACGGCTCCCACGGGGTTAACATCGCACTGCCGAAGGCACCAAAACACAGGACCAGCGTATTTCAGATGTGACTGCATCAGGGGAGAGAGGCAAAGAAGAGGGAAAGCAGGAGACAGACGTCCTTGCCTCCTTGCTCTCCGCGGTCCCCGAATCCATTCCAGAAGCCTTCCCATCTTGTTTGTCTCGAACTGCGCCCCCCACCCTCTTGGGAATCTCCACCCTTCCAGGTGCCACACTTCCTTCCACCAGCTGCCCACCACCCGGAAGGAAGCGCAGCCAGCCCACAGCCTTTTCCCAAGGCACGCTGGCACAGGGCTCACG